GCGGGTGGCTCTGAGCTCAGCACCCTGGGGTGGGCTCATCGCCTGCCCCCCTCCTCCCGAGCATCAGCAGGGCGCCTGCACATACTGGGGGAAACCAGAGCCGTACTGGGAGCTGTGGGAGGGTGGCTGGGAGTGATTTTGGTTGTGGATCCTGATATTGCCTGCTTTCTCCTGGCATCCCTGTGGTCTGTGATGCCTCCTCTGGTTCACTGGGCAGGGAGAGCTCACCCAAAGCAGGATGCTGCTGCCCCAGCATCTCCCTGTCGACATCCCGCCGCTGCTGGGAGCACTGGTGTGACTTGCAAATAGCATCAGTGTCACCAGGAGAGTAGAGGCTGTGATTTTCCAGCTCAAGAGACAGCCCCAACACAGCTTTCCCTGCAGGAAACCCTCCCAGAGCCTTGAACATCCCAGGATTTGTTTGCCGGGGAGCTGGAGGCCACCAATTAATGAGGCTGGGATGGAAATGTGGCACAGAGGAGCCTGGAGGTGGGGGCAAGGGGGGGCCTGGGGGAGGCCGAGGGGGTTATAGGAGATGAGGAATCCTTGAAACAGACCCCCCCTGTTGTGGTAAAACGACCTGAGCCCCACAGTCCCCCAGGAACGCGGGGGTTTTGGGGGTCAGCTTTACTTCGCTGGGGTGCCAAGGGCTAAATCTGGGTGGGCTCATCGCCTGCCCCCCTCCTCCCTATGGCACCTTTGTACCCCTGAGTCACACGGGGATGGGGACACAAGTGTTTTTCCCCTGTGACAGACCAGTTTGGCACCGCTGCCAGCCAACGGGACGCTGATCACGTCGGTGCTGGGAAGGGCACATCTCCTGGTGACGGCTTCCCCAGCCGATAAAAATCACTGTTCCTGGCTGAGACATTGGAGGAAGCTTCTTCTAAGGGCTGGCTGTGCCCTGTTTGCTCTCCAAGATGGGTTCTCTGGGGTTTAGAAGCCCTGGAGGGAGCTGTGGGAGGAGGACTAACAGGCACAGGTGAGCTCAGAGATGTCCCTGGCCATTCCTGCTGGGAGGGAGGGTGAGCATCCCACCGGCTGAAATCTGTGGGACCCCACCACGAGCTGCTTTGTCACCCCAGGTGGTTAATAAAGGTGGTTTTCAGCTTGATCCTCACTCTGGGGTCAATCCCAGGAAAGGCTGCCCTCAGGTTTTGCCCCCCCAGGGCCATCGGGGGGTCGTGAGCATCCTCCCAACCTGTGCTGCAAAGCCCGGCCGGTGCAGAGACACAAAAACCATTTCCAACCATCCTGGTGGCTTCTGGCTCTGGGGCTGAAATGGGAACCCCAAGTGCGACAGGACGATGAGTCACATTTCCCAGAAAAAGGGAATTAAACACATCTATTCCCCCTGGAGAAGGGGAAGAGCAGGCTCTGGGCCGCTCGGTGTGTCTCCAGGGGGGGTTAAACCAAAGCTGGGACACTGAGACCGTGGGGTTTGTCACGGAGGAAGATGGTCTGTGTGTCTTGGGGGGGGGGACGGGAGCTGGTGACCCCCCCTGGGTGATGGAGCCTGATGGGGAAAAGCTGCTGAGCATCAGCAGGGCGCCTGCACATACTGGGGGAAACCAGAGCCGTACTGGGAGCTGTGGGAGGGTGGCTGGGAGTGATTTTGGTTGTGGATCCTGATATTGCCTGCTTTCTCCTGGCATCCCTGTGATCCGTGATGCCTCCTCTGGTTCGCTGGGCAGGGAGAGCTCACCCAAAGCAGGATGCTGCTGCCCCAGCATCTCCCTGTCGACATCCCGCCGCTGCTGGGAGCACTGGTGTGACTTGCAAATAGCATCAGTGTCACCAGGAGAGTAGAGGCTGTGATTTTCCAGCTCAAGAGACAGCCCCAACACAGCTTTCCCTGCAGGAAACCCTCCCAGAGCCTTGAACATCCCAGGATTTGTTTGCCGGGGAGCTGGAGGCCACCAATTAATGAGGCTGGGATGGAAATGTGGCACAGAGGAGCCTGCAGGTGGGGGCAAGGGGGGCCCGGGGGAGGTCGAGGGGGTTATAGGAGATGAGGAATCCTTGAAACAGAAGGGGGGGAATACAGCTCCCCACCGCTCTTCTCCCCTCTCCACCCAAGGGGCTGCAGCCCCGAAGGGTCCCAACAGCTCGTGTCTCTGATGACTCATGTGCACGGCAAGAAAAAGCCACAAGCAGGACTAGAAAACACAGAAACCAGTATTTAATACCCCCCAGGTGACCCAGGGAGCATCATCTCAGGGTTCTGGGGGCAAACCCCGTCCCTGTTTTCGGGGCACAGGGCAGGGGGGGGTTAATTCAGTGCTGGCCAAGGCAGGGATGCTGCGGGAACAGATTTCAGGTGTTTTTGCAGTGATTTAGGGTTTGTGTGGCAGTGCCAGGAGGGGGGGGACGTTGGCTGACAGCAGTTACAAAAACAACAACAACAACAACAAAACAACAACAAAATCAGGAAGGGTCTTCATGGTCACAGGAACAAAGGGCTTTGACATGTGCCCCCCCCCCTTCAGGCTCAAAAAATGCCTCAGCGACTAAAAACAACCCGTGTTTTATTATAAAAAGGTGATGTTTTGCCTTAAGGAGATGCTCTGGATGGATGTTGGGGTCCACTAACGGGGGGAGCTGAGCGAGACCCCACCCCCCCAGGGCTCCCAAGAGAGGATTTAGGGCCAGGGATGCAGGGGGGGGTGCTGGCATGGGGAGATGCAGCCAGACAAAGGACACAGACGGACAAACAACCGCCCGTTGGGGACCCAACCGGGGCACAGGAGACCCCCCGGGCACGGGGATCTCACTCACATCCACATGGGTGGTTGTTGGAGGGCAAAAAGCAGCTTTTCACTTTTTTTTCCACTCTAGCAAGTGTTTCTGTAGTTTGCTGTTACGGCAGCGACAGAAAACCGTAATATAAAAATTATTCCACGGAACACAGGGCTTTGTTGGTGGTTGAGCTTTCACCGGAGAGATTGGAAATTAAAAATATATATTAAAAAAAATAAAATATATATATTCCCTCGCTTTGTTCAAGGACGTTAAATACTCCTTCCCTCCAAATCTGCAGCCCCGTGCGTGCCCCGGGAGCATTTTAATGCTGATTTTTCTGCCCCTGGGCCAGCTGGTGGCCCCATAAAAGCCCTCGCCCCGTGATTTAGGGCAATGGCCCAACGGGGAAGGGAAG